AAACAAGAGGAAAGAGGCGGCAAGGTGATACGGCCTGCTTAATAAACACCTTTGCAGCGTATAGCTAGCGGTGCCCAGTTTTTATCACATCGAATAACAATGTTGCCATTAATTGTCGATTTTATAACGACCCATCTTCTCATTACACGGAAGGCAGATTAATAATAGTTCTTGCTCACTAGTGTCGAGGAGACCCTGAACAATGGAATAAATTTAGTGGATCATTAGATGGAAAGTTACGACAGAATTCTTAACTTATTTCACGGCAATTGTTTACTTTATGTATATTATATACTGGGGATGTATTGTCGGCATTGTATGTATAGGCGATGGGCAAACATTACTGAATTATTCTCCAAGTACTACCACTTATTTGCCACGGAATGTAATCTATAACATTTACATTGGCTAACTAATTACTACGATTAATATTGGGATAGTTGAAAAGGATTGCCCTGATCGTACTGCTCTGTAAAATCTTAAGAGAAGGAAAGAAAATTAATCGCGCAACGTGAGAAACGTAAATTTATCGTCGGTAATAAATGTCGAAATTCTACAGTGACTCTAAGGCTATCGGTTTTCCTATCAATAACAATAATTTATTGATAAAGTCTTACGCCCGAATCAAATGACTTGTCGTAATATTCGCAAAACTGAAGCTCTCCCTCCGTAAAATACTTTCGATGCTTTAAAATACAATCGAGAAAATTGCAAGTCGGTACGATTGTGTGGACTAAAACTTAAAAACCAATAAACTTTTGCTTCCTTCCTTTTCGTTAGATAATGTCGCACTCTTATTGCCTATCGTCGAAATGCGTAATTTTTGAAGTCTACAGCTTAAAACGAAAGTTACCAAAGCTACACGTCTTCCGGAAACAAAACAACTGTTGTATAAAAAGTATTATCGACCACTCTACAATGTCGGCCAACATTAAAATAAAATAGCGTAATAGGAATTCTATTTTTATAAGTGAGCGTCGACGTGTGTTTGCTTAAAAAAGAGTTGTGAAAAGTAAACGATAGAGTGTCCTCGCAAAAACATACCCTTCCAAATAGAAATGTAAAAAGTCCGCTAAAGTAACGTAGTTGCGAATCGTTAAACAGCGGGCGATTAATTAATTTCCTTCGCCTAAACGCGAATGCGATTGATTAAGTAAGGAAAGGCCAAAAGTAAAAAAAAAAAAAAATAGAAAAAAAAAAGAAAGAAAGAAAGAAAGAACGAAAGAAAATAAAAGCCCTTGCGAACGACTAAAGTGCCATTATTCATTAAAATTGCAGGCAATTACGACTTGACGAGCGTAGCATTGGTGAACTGGGCTAAGCAGAACCTGTGCGAGGACAATATCTCGGTGATCGTTGTCTTCCTCACGCCGCCCGCCGAGATCGCGGCCAAGTCCTTCTTCAACCCGCGGCCCGTGCATTGCCCCTCAAGCATGGAATCCGGCTACCAGGAGCAGCAACCTTACGACCTCGACTTTGGCTTCGGCAAGCAGCAACAACAGCAACAGCAGCCACAGCAGCCACAGCCGCAACAACAACAGTCGCTCATCCAGCTTCAGCAGACGAACGGCGGCGACGTGGGCCTCGCTGAGACATGCACCGCCAGCGCCATCCTCGAGCCAATCAATGGCAGACATCGACCCAAGCCCCCGCGGTATAATGACGACGATGACGACGATGACGACGAGGAAGAGGAGGAAGAGGAAAACGATTTGGAGGAGGAGCAGGAAGAGGACGAGGACGAGGAGGACGAAGACGAGGACGTAGACCTCGGACCGGAGACAAACGTCGATACCGTCGATGATATACCCGAGGAGTTTGGGAAGCTCGACCAAGCCATGGGTCAGAACTACCCAGCGGAATTTCTGGTGAAGATGCCTGCCAAGAGGGAAGAGAACGATTTCTCTCTCGAGGGAATCCGTGAACACAGTGAGTTCATTCACCGCCTTTGATTTAATTTAATCTGTTAGCTATTTTTTGTAATAAAGATGTTTAAAGCTCGCTAAGTAAACCCGCCTCTATGATTTTTCGTGCCAGCGATATTCGTGGCTCGAGTTAAGTGGTTTGCAACCAAAAACCAAAACAAAAAAATAAGAAAGAAATTAAAGAGTAGGCTCACAGTGAATTGTTGTAGGGCTTATCTTAAAATCCATAAAAACGAATTAAAATGTTCCCTGTGTTCGGAGAATAGAAAGAGGAGACTCGGCTCTTTTATATTTTTCCGAATAGATAGATTCGCGTTTTGTCGATTTGTCGTCTGTTCGGAAGGTAATAAATAATAGGTGTTCACAAAAATTTATGCCAATACTATTTATGGATTTCATAGGTGTTAGGAATAAATAATGCACGTTGAAAGTTTCCTCGCATAACGTACGTCGGTGAAATTCATTGCAAAATTATGGCTCATTATAAATAAGCGATTTCTAACAAGTCATTATCAAAGATTTTTCATTTAACAAAGCCTTTTTTTTTTATATAAGTAAATAACGTGTTTTACATTTTATTGTGTAAAAGATAATCCTCGAGCAATTTTCAAATAGTGAACAAATAATACACGAGTTTCGTACTTAAGAAGTTAATAATCAATTATTTGTTCACTTTTGCATTAATACGCGTGGCTTTTACTATTTTAAATAAAAAATCGAAGAAATATTAATTGTTTATTAATATCTTTAGAAAGTACTTATAACGCAGAAAACTTTCAAAAAATTTTGTTCAAATAAAGAACTTTTTCGCCGCCGCCGCCGCCGCCGCCGCCGCTGCCGCCGCCCACCTCCTCCCCCTGTAAATTGAAACAATTATATTAAAGTGTAATTAGGCTTGCTTCGTAAAAAGCACTTTCACATTCTTTTCACCATACTGTCATGGTTGAGAATTTGTGAAAGTAAAAATTATTTTTTATTAAATCTATGATTAGTAAAAAAAAATTGAATATTCCATAACTATTTATTCGTGGGCAGGCGAGGGAGAAAGAATACTTTATTGGTTGAAGTAAACATATTATAAGCATTTGACATAAAGTGCACATGCGAAACCGTCGTATACATTATTTTCTTTTCTTAAAAATTAACGTAATAAGAATAAATCATTTCGATAACATCGTACTTTTTTTTGTTTTTGTAATGAAATTTTTTTTTTTTTTTTTTTTTTCCCTCCCCGTTTATTTTACCTACAAGATAACACGAAAGGAGGACCAGAAACACAACGGCGGCCATTCCTCGCGACGTCGAAGGTGCCAATAATCAATCAACGAAGATCGAATTTTATGATAAACACGTACTTATTAAAGGCCATGGAGATGCCGTGGAACGGACGAGGGATGCGACACGCTCACTGCTAAATTACAAAGAGCGATGACAAATTATAACAAATAAAAAGCGCGTTCCACAGACTCCTTGCCAACAAAATGGCTTTTGCTAAAACTTCGTCGAGGAATAATTTCAACTCTCACTGGATACGGGTAGCTTCGCGTGACGTAACTTCGGCTCGTCATCGTCACACCCTAGATCGGCGAGCAGTTGGACGAATAGCCTTGAAAAAGGACATCGCATACGCACGCACAAATTGGCGTATTGACCCGTGCGTTCGCATAGTGCTCGCCTGACAAGGAGCCAGTCGATCCGCGCCGTACCATCGGACCTCTTTCTCACATTTGCCGCCGATTATCGATCGCTGGCCCCCGTCGAGGCGCGAACCTCCGCGCGAGAAGTTTGAATTTTCGGAACCCTTGGGCCAACCAACCGGTTCGCATTGTTCGGGGCTCCCGGACTGTGCGTCAGAATCGCGCGCAAGTGCCGATGGGTTATTCAGGCACATGGTGGTAATTGCACTTCGACACGTACACTTTCGATCCCCTCCATTTCGCACGAATATTCCATCGTCGAGCCGAGCGGCGAATGTTTCGTTACGCCTTGCGACTTCAACCTCGATGTGTCTGTCCATTTTTTAGCTCTCGTTCTTCGATTTCTATTTTACAGTTTTTTTTTTCTTCGGCTATACGTGGAGTGAGTGACTGAGTGAGTGAGTGAGTGAGTGAGTGAGGGAAGGGAAGGGAAGGGGCGGGGCGGGCAGGGGGGTATATATATGAAAAATCATGTAACTAGCTTTAATCAGTGAATTTTTTGTTATAGTGTCGTGTAATAAGAGGCAAAGATCGTAGGCCGATTTTTCGTTGTCTCTAGCCTCTTCTCGAAAATTCAAAAAAACACTTAAAAATAGTTAAAAATGGTTGTGAAAAATTTGATCTTTTCATTCTGCTTTCATTTGAAATTCAAGTACAAACTTTCAAATGGGAATACTCATATTCTGTGCGTGTGCGTGTGTAAAAGACTAGTTAGATTAAAGGTTGCCAATACTTTAAAATCATCATTATATTTAAATTTAAATATGACCTTTTTGGAAAACTAAATTTTCTGACACAATACATTATTCATTCGTGTTCAGATATAATATTTTCTTGACTTTATAATTAATTTTTCATTTTAATAATTACGGCCTTATTATTATTATTAAAATATTCCCTATAAGTCGATTAAATTAAAATAAATTAGTTTGTTACATCTTGGTAATGTGTTCTGAGGCAATTAATTTACATTTTAAGTTAATGGCTTCAATTTTTAATTCCAGTTGAAAAGTTCTAAATCGTTAGAAATTTACTTTGATGTTATCATATGTTAACAATTACGTTCCAGCTTAATTTCACACATTCTTGGCTGCAAATATTATTTAATAAAATTTATTAAAAGAATCTTCTGTAACAAATTTTACTATGCAATTGTTTTTGCAATGTTGTCGATAGCTGAGTAATTAAATTAAAAAAATATGTTTATTTTTAAAATTACAAAATTCAAACATTCCAATACAAGTATTACGAATTTACTTACTACCCACTATTACTGAGCATAGTTAAATTTAATTTAGTGAAAAGAAAAAAAACCTTTACACGTATGCACGTGAAATAATGATATTCAAATACACTTATTTTCATATTATTCTTCATAAGTAAATAATTGTAGATATTTTTATTTTCTAAAATATTACACACCCACAAACACACACGCAGAGAGAGAGAGAGAGAGAGAGAGAAAGAGAGAGAGAGAAAGCTGAATTTTAGGTCAATGACTTATAGTCGCTATTAAATGTCCAGGCCCTTAAAATACAATACGTTTCTTTCAATTCAATATATGTAATTTGATAAAATTAATTTAGATAAAAATAAAAGCCATTGAACGCCACCCTAAAAGCTTTCGATATATATGGAAAATACTGTCTGCATGAACACTCTTCGGATATCCCTTACATAGCTATCAATCTTAAAATAAATGCAATATTTACACTTTGAAATGTTAAATAAATAATACGTAAAAAATGCTATACGCAAAAGTAATCATAGCGTTGCTAACAATTACGGCAAATGTTTTCTCCAACGTCTCCGAATCTTCGATACGCACGCACGAATATGAGCAATTAGTAACCAATCGCAATATAGTTCCGCAACCATTCAGTAATTTATATAACGTCTTAGGCATCTTCGAATGATCTGCATTTCCCTCCCTTTTATCCCTATTGTCATTCCGCTGCAACTCCGGAATAACTTCCCTCCGTCGTACGAAAAAGAAAAGTCTTGCCGAGACGTTTTCGTCCCGCGAAAAAGATAATAACGACGTGAGTACTAACAGAAGACGCAGAAGACTAGGAGAAGGGCAGAGAGAAAAAGTTTAAGAATAAAGGAGAAAAGGAAATTAACGCGGATAGGCCAACCGAACAGTTATTGAGTTCGATTATATTTAAATAAGCGACTACGGAGGCATTTATTTTTATTTTTAGTATATTTAGATTCTTAGTTGAAAGCACCATTGATATTACCCATATATATATATATATATATATATATATATAATTGTTTATTTATTTATATATTTCACAAGTTTGTGTTATAACTATGTCCATTTAATAAAACTGTTATTCAATATTATTTTCAAATCCATAACGAAGCAGTCTACGTTCCTTCAAAATAGACGCAAATTAGTTATTCAGTATAATTTAATTATACGTATTTGCGAATTTCGAGCTGAAGAGTAAGAGAGAGGGGGATGGCGGGGGGGGGGGATGTATTGGCCGTTCATTCAATTTCAATCGCGTTTGAAAATAAAACGAAAATACAAAAATAAAATGCGAGATTTTCCTGGCGCAGACAGAGTAGAGAGACGCGAACACTCGATCGTTCTCGAATTCGACACGCTTTGATAATTATCGCAACAAGAAAAAAGTATCGTAGGAAGGATTTGTTAGTACGCCGACGCGTTTCAACAAATTATTGTGATTTATATGTGTATAACAGAGCTCGGCTTATTTATTTTTGCGCAAAAAATTTTAATTGATACGTAGTTTTCACAAGTCGTTGCAAAATTACAGGTCTGCCTTTCGTAATAAGCATTAATTCCGTTAAATAAGCGCTTACGTTGACTATGTCATTCACCTGTGAAGTGTTGGGGGAAAAGATAAAAAAAAATGCAACTCACATTAAACGGGTTATTATTATGTATACTGAAATATACGCTTCTTTTATAAATTTTACATTATTCTCATACCGTCCTTCAAATTTATGAATTAAGTTATTTCGTCCGTCATTTCCTTTAATCATAACAGCCAATTGATACTGGTTAGAATTTTTCAGATATATACGATCTTAACAAATAATTATAATTTTATTTACAAACACACTGGTCCGCCTTTAAATACTCCATCTTAATCGATATTATCCACAATAACATAATTCTTATTTTTAATTAATTACTTTACCTCTCTAATATTACATACTCGGATAGCACTAAAAAATACTTATTTAAGACGAGATTGTAAAGTAAAAGCAAGAAGTATAAATTATCACTATAAAAATACAGTCTTAAATATTAATATTA